GACGCTTATTAAAAGGGCATTTGACTATAAAAAAATGGTAGAGTTACAATGGCTTTTTAGGTCTGTAATGATTTTTTTTCGTTTTCTCAAAATTCTTTAATAATACAAACTTTATTTTTTTCAAGTGTCATCCCGTGTATCGATTTTTTTCATTTTTGTGAACATGAAGCTTATTGAAAGGGCATTTGACTGTAAAAAATGGTTGGGTTTTTAGGGCTATAATGAATTTTTTTCGTTTTCTCAAAATTCGTTAATAATACAAACTTTATTTTTTTCAAGTGTCACCCCGTTTATCGATTTCTTTAATTTTTGCAGAAAATGAAGCTCATTAAAAGGGCATTTGACTGTAAAAAAATGGTGGGGTTAGGATGGCTTTTTAGGGTTGTAATGAATTTTTTTGTTTTTTTTCAAAATTTGTTGATACAAACTTTATTTTTTTCAAGTGTTATGCTCATTTCTCCATGTTTTGTAATATATTATGCTTTATTTTAATAATATTCCAATAATTTTTCGAATGTGAACCTGGCTGTACGAGCAGGCAATTTTCAATAAACCATGTTATGCCCAGGGCTACAAACTTAAATACGAAATTCCATAGCCACCTATTATGCCAATTTCAATGAAATCTACTGTATGTAAAACTGTCACTGTTTTTCTTAATTTGGTAACAATGATTTTTAAAAGAAATTACGTTTCCATAACAATTGTCAAATTCACGGCCTACTTTGGTATTGTTTACAATGAAAAAAGTCAACAAAAATGATTGTAATGATGATTTTAAATGACATAACTTGATACGATAATATTGATTAAGCAATTATTTAGCTTTTCCTTGATTGGCTACTGCTTCCATGGCCTTCTTAACCGTTTCAGGATCGCCTAAAAATTGCAAACTGCCTCCTTGTGCTGGTTTCATATTTTCTTGTAACATATAAACAAAGGGAATTCCTGTTGGTAAATTTAGTCCCATAATTTGTTCGTCATTAAGTTGATCTAAATGTTTGACGATTCCTCGTAGACTATTACCATGTGCCGCAATTAAAATATTTTTTCCGGCTTTGATTTGTGGTACAATAGTTTCGTTCCAAAACGGTAAAGTGCGTTGAATCGTCAATTTGAGTGATTCAAATTTGGGAAATTGTTCAGGAGATGGTCCGTTTTTGTATCTTGGATCGCATACGATGTCTTTATAATGTGGATGGTCGTTTTCCATTGGTGGTGGTGGTACATCAAAACTCCGTCTCCAAATTGCGACTTGTTGTTCGCCGTATTTGGCAGCGGTTTCGGTTTTGTTAAGGCCGGTCAGGGCCCCATAATGACGTTCATTGAGACGCCATGTTGTTTGAATGGGGATATCAGACTGACCTAGAGTTTTTAGGATGATTTGGAGAGTGTCTTGAGCTCGACTTAAGACCGAAGTGTAAGCTTGATCGAATTTATAACCAGCGTCTTTGAGAGCTTTCCCAGCATTTGCTGCCTCTTGTTTGCCTTTTTCGCTCAATTTTGCATCATACCAACCGCAGAAAAGGTTCTTTTGGTTCCATTCTGATTCGCCATGACGTACCATAACGATTTTATAAGGTGGTGCCATTGTACTGTAATTTATTAGAAATTGTGACAGTTTGAGATTTTTTGATGTCATGAGTTTTGCCATGATTGCTTGTTTTTGTTACAGATTTTGTTGGATTTGTTGGGGTCAGCACTTATGGTTTTAGTGACAGTAGGGTACAAAACGAAATTATCAGCTTTAATTTTAGTTTTGTTACTCACCACATTGAACTTTTATCATAATGCTTGGTGGAACATTCCCTCATATAAGCCATTGCGTGACTTTTTGAAATACGACTTCTTCCAGGTAAGTGAAAACTCGCACTTTTTTATACTTTCATGGTTTTTTAGACGTTGTCTGTGATTGGTGGTCTTCTCATGATTGTATATTTAGGCCCTGGAGGGGTGTCAATGGACGAACACAAGAAACGATGGTAATTTAAGTCATTAGTGAGCAAAGTTGTGACTGAACAATTTCATTTTTAAAGAATTTCCTTATTTTCTATATTACTGTCTATTCTTTTTTGATTGTATGAAGTTGTATTTTTACTAATTTAAAAAGTGTACATAATGTGTGATTTATTTAAGTTTTATTCTGACCAACCACAAAAAACGTACGTACTGGATACAAAAAATGTATGCTCAACTATACTTCCATTGCTATGATTTAAATGTATTTTAGATAGATTTTATGTTTAATGGGTTGTTGCAAGGATTAATAAAAACATATTTTTCATTATTCATTGTTTTTTTCTAAAAAATCTACAACTTTGTTTGCCAAATTCACAAAAGCCTTGGTTTGGCAACTATCTGGGTGTTTTATCACAACGGGTGTGCCTTTATCAGTGCTAGACGAAATTTTGTGATCCAATGGGAAGCTCTGAATAATATTTGTACCAATTTCATTGGCTAAATGTGAGGTTCCGTCTCCGAAAATTTCAACTTTATTGTAACAAGAAGGACAAGTCACTGAAGCCATATTTTCAACCAAACCAATAATAGGTACTGATAATTTTTTATACATCGCAGCTCCGCGTTTTGTGACTTCAAGTGCCGCCGGTTGTGGCGTTGTAATAAGAACCACACCTGATATTGGGATATTTTGAACCAATGAGAGGTGAGTATCGCCGGTCCCTGGAGGCGTGTCCACAATTAAATAATCAATACGCCCCCATTCCACATGTCTTAATAGTTTTTCCAATGCTTGCATGACCATAAGACCTCGCCAAATCACTGGTGAACCTTCAGCTATTAGAAAACCCATTGACATACTATGAAAAATGATAAACACACATTCTGTTCAAAAATTACCATTTTACGCCATAATTCGTGAGGGGCAACATTTGATTTTTGTCATTTACTAAAGGCGTTTCGTGGAGATTCATCATTAAAGGAACGGAAGGACCAAACACATCACAATCCAACAATCCAATTTTTTTATCAGGATACATAAATTTTAGTGCTGTTGCAAGATTCACTATAAAATTGATTATTTTTGACACAAACCACAGTTATTTGTTACAAATTAAAAACCTGATGTGGTGCTTTTGCCAACACCCCCTTTTCCAGATGAAATTAAAATTGTGTGTTTGACGCCTTCAATTGGCTTTTTCACAGGAAGACCTTTACTCATTACTTTTTCCTGGTGCTGTTTTAAATCCTTACTTGAAAATTTATGATTAAAAATCTAGAAAAAAACTGTTTTATTTCAAATTAGTCAAATTATGATATAACCTTAAAAAACGTATTATTATAAAACAGACTTGGTAGTTTAAGAGAAAAAAATGCTGTTTTAAAACTAGCCATTTTAGTAGTGGTATAACATCAATTATTAATTATTTTTTGTAAAAACTAGTTAGAAAAATTTCACCAGTGAAATGAACTATTACGATATGTGGAACTACTATTGTGTATTGTACCGGAAAAGAATTATTATTGTTTTTTTCGTGATACTTTTTACTTTAAAATATTTTTAAATAAGTAACAAGATTAAAGCAAAACAACACTTTTATATAATTTTGAATGACTTTCATAAAAAGTAGTTCAATTGCTCCACACTAAACGTCATCTTAACGTATCTTAACCTCAAACTCTAAAAACTTTAGATTTTAGGCAAATATTTTCGATTTCGACTTTATTGTTGTGATGGATTTTCATGATATCAGGTCATATCCAATAATTTCAACATCTTGATTGTTATTTTCAATTAAATAATTAAAATTGATAATGGGTTATAAAGCAGCTGTCCAAATCCTAAAGTACGTTGTTGAAAATGATGATTAATTTTAGTAAAAAAACATTTTAGACAAGCAGAAGATTTAAAAAACAAGGTATTAAAGAAAAGTGATTTATTATCGGATTCCCAGGCATGGACGGATCAACAGAAATTGCAAAATATTTACCATCAAGCACTGGTACTTGATTTAGAATATGCACTAGACAAGAAAGTGGAGCAAGATTTGTGGAATATCGGTTTTAAAAATCACATCTCGGTATTACAAGAGTTGACACGCGACAAAAAGGTTTGTAGCAATTTTTCCAATTAATCAATAATCGTTAATTTATAGAATGCTAGAAGATCTGAATGTCAGGCGCTTTTAACTTGGTGTTTAGAGGCCGCTTCTGGATTTTATTTGACGCTTTTGCATGAATTATGCAACGTATTTGACATTGATTTACCGTTTAGAAGACGAGGAAATGTTTATGGGGAAACAATAAATCATTCAAATGAACTTAATTTGCCTCAATCGTCATCTTGTGTTTATATTTGCCAATATTGTTTGGTACATTTAGGAGATATTGCTAGATATAGAAATCAAAGAAAGCAAGCTGAAAATTTTTACAAGTATTACATTTTTTTTTTGAGGCTAAATTCTTAAAGTTTTTTTTCAGACAAGCAATTTTGGTGTCCCCAACTAGTGGTCATCCTTACAACCAATTAGCTCTCTTGGAAGCAAGTCAAGGTGATAAATTATCAACTGTCTTTTATTACATTAGAGGAATAGCGGTAAAAAATCCTTTCCCAGCATCCACCACCAATTTATTGAGCACTTTAAGTTCGTCTCTTGATAAAGAAAAGTAGGTATTAGAGGGGAAAACTAATTTTTATCTCATGTAATAATTTTTAGTCCATTAGAGAAAATTCATAGTAAAATCACAGTAAACGAGTTTATTCAAATTTTTTTGTGCACTCATGCTCTTCTACACACTGCTACTGATTTAGCCCAGGCTGAAGTAGGAGTTAAAAGTTTAAATACGACAATGACGGCTTTAGTAGCAACTCAGAGTTTTACAAGAGAGAAATTGATTAAAATTACTGCAATCAATTTGTACGCATTAAAACATGTAACTTTAACGGATGAATTGACCAAAGATGAAAAAATTGCCAGACAACACATTTTGGATCTTTTAGCTGGATCGTTGAGTGCTTTTTTAATTCCAGTTCATACGCTAAAAAATGACGAAAATTTATTGGATTATTACGCACTTCCTGCAGGTACAATGATAATTTTATGATTCTTGTTTTGATTGTTTTTTATACAGTAAAACTTCTAACGTACTGGATTATGAACGAATCGAAAATCCTTAATGAAATTGTTTTCACTAATCGACTGCAAATTTGGCCGAGTTTGTGCAAACTTTTGAATAATGTGCAGGAATACATGAAAAATTTCGATTATACCAAATGTGAGTTTCGTAATTTTGGGTTATTTTTTTAATAAATACAATTGGTAGATGCAAAAACACCACTTCTTGAAGATAAGTTATTACAAGGTTTCCGGCCTTTGATAAAAAATTTCAAAGAGTTAGATTTTAAGGATATTGAGGATGAAAAAACCGAAAATTTAATTCGAATGCAACGTTTGATTGATTTTGGTTTGTTTATCAGCAAGTTGGATGTGAATAATACTAAATTAATAACAACGTAAGTCGTAAATTTGTTTAAAAAAATTTATAACGAAAAAAATTGTAGGAGTGTTGAAAGTGATAAAATTAATTTTGAACCGGGTTGCATCCAACCAGATCCTACTAATGACTTATTAGAGGAAATGAAATCGTTTCATATCACTGATATTTCACCAATTTCTAATAAAAAAGGTGCGTGAAATAGTTTTTGGTTTTTATTGTAAGTCATGTTTTAAGTAGGTTGTGAAAAAAGGGGTGGTATTTTAAAGCCGCAAGGTTCTTTGGAAAAATCCCGCGAAGAACGCGAATTATTATCATCGGGAGAACCAAGTCTTATGTCCGATTTGAGTAATTCCAGTTCGTCTTCAAATAACAGTAAAAAAGACTTTTCAAAAAATAAACGATCGAAGCAAAATATAGCTCTACAGTCGATTTTTAAAAAAATCGAAGAGAATAAACAAGTAAGTCGCTGTTTTTTATTTAATTATAATAAAATACACAATTTTAGGTGAAATTTAAAGTCGAAGAAAAAGAAAAATTGGTCACTTTTGACCCCAAACCCATTTCCTCTCCTTCCACTTCCCAATTTAATCCCCCATTACGGACCCAATCCTTCAACCAGAATCATCCAGCCTTTCCCATCCCTCCTCCCAACCAACCTGATTATCTCAATACTCTCCGAAACGTAACAAAACCTCAACCAAATTCGATAATTCCGTTTCAAAATCCTCATAATTTCAATCAACGCATCGCACCTCCGTTTCATTTAAACCCCTATAAAATGGAGGAACCGAATTCGCCTTGGTGGCCTAACACATCACAGAATTACCAACGACCTGATAATTTCCAAATGAATTATGCCTTTAGCAATAATATGCCCTACATGCCCGATTATAATAAGACACAAAGTAATCAAGCAGCCGGCGATATGTTTAATTCACCTTGGAATAATTTCAGTAGGAGTAACTTACTTGAAACTAATATGAATTATGAAAATGGGGGATTATCAATGAGACAGACGATGCTTAAAGAGTCGGGGCCACCAAGACCTGTAAGTTAATACAGTTAGGAAAAAAAATGTATACGACACGTGCACTTTTTTAGAGTCATGATAATTTCATGCAAAATTCAACAACATCTCCTGGTTACTCGTTATTTAATACGAATACTTGGACGCCGAATTTAGTGGGACAGTTGAGGAATAATAAATCACAGGATAATCAAGTAAATCATTTGCCTCAACATTCTTTGTTTTCTGGACAGGGACCACAGTCGTTGGCCCAACTATTGGAACAACAACAGTCTCAAAAAAATGATGTTTAGGTTTCATAAAATCAGTTTTTTGTTGATAGTTGGTCATAGTGTAATGTACTTTTAACAATTAATAAATTAGTATTCGTTTTTAAACCGTGTTTTTGTTTCTTAATAAAAAGTCTAGATAAAGATATACAATAGTAGTGACAGAAAAGTAACTAGGTTGGTGACATCCTCCGCCCAGAAAGTAGTACCTTTGAAATGTCGCGGAAAAGTACATTTTAGTCGGTATGTCTGGAAAAAAAAGTATTAATGAGCAATGGAATGTGTTGGTAACATCATTTATGTCATTGTTTTCCGTATTTTAAAACTTACAATACAAAAAATGTCAAACTGTCTGCGTAGGAATATCCGGACGTGTCGCGATACCAACTCAACATGTTTCAAATTACTGTAATTGACAAATTTTAGCATTGCGATTCGAGTACTTTTCTTGTTATAGTTTACCAAGATGTCAAAAAAATCTATCATATAAAGAGAAAAAAAGGCAATTGAAACGATATAATTTATTCACTCAAAATATTACATCACGAATGAAATGAATGGTAGGTTTTATACAATTTTTACTAACAATTCCATAGTGCTCAGATTAGTTATTTAACTGTTAAAGAAAAGTGAAATGTTCAAAAAATAACATTTAAGGAATTGCAGTCCGCCTAATCCCGTATAAAATTTTCTAAACATAGACTTATGTACAAAATCCTATACTCTTTTTCATATCAATTTGCATCAAGTAGGTTGTAGAAATCTAAATGCATCTTTAATTTAAAGACCGATTCACACAAAAAGTGTCATTAATGTCATTTAGAACAAATTTAATCATATTAATAATGACAAATTACGTTGTGGTGTACACATATTTATTTGAGAAAATAATTTTTAGAGAAGATTTAGAATTGTTTAAATTTTCGCAGGGTTGCCACCTTAAAATGATCCCTCTCAACGACTACTTCGATGCACATTAATATGAAAACGATTACTTTGGCACCAAGGATAGTCTTTAGGGAAATTACACGTCTATTAAAAAGTCCCATTCCTAAGTATGTATATTAATTCTAAAAGCAAGAATATATACTACGCATATATGTATACCAGACAAAGTTATTTGAAAAAGATGTAGTTTTGGTGTGTTTCAAAGCAAGTGTTAAAAATTTGGTTTTAATTGTCTATTTTTGTACTCTGGATAAACAGGATCTCATTAAAAAGTAATTTAGTTTTGATATAAATTGGAAATCACGTTAATACCCCTTAATAAAGGGTAAAGGTATAATTTGTGGTACTACAGGATTATCAGGATTTTCATTATCCTCGGGTCAGCTGTTGGTATCAATGGCGAACGTGTGTGCGTGCGTTAAAGTTGTCCAAAGGGGAGACCTGCAACACATTTTACTTTTCTTTTTCGTTTTTTAAAAACTGCACAAAGCCATCAATAAAAGTTTATTGTTTTAATTTAACTGGCTGAGATTAAGGTTCATTATACAGGGGGTTCCATTTTTTATTGTTACAAATGTAAACATGTGATAGAATATTCAATTTTAAGATAAAAAGTACTACAACTATTTTGGCTGAAGTTTCTTGTTACTTTCAAAAACAAGAATTCTAAATTCCTTAGTGTTTTACTAAAAAGAGATCTCTTGCGTTTTGCAGTACAACTTACCCTTTTTGAGTAATTTTTTTTTAATATTCATGTTTCACTTGTTTTGTTGTGTTTTTTACCGAAAAAAATGGTCAAATTTGGTCGAATATCATACTATTTTTGCTTTTTTGAACCTTTTAGCATGTTTTTAAAACTCAAATTTTGAATAAGCTTCATCGGGACAAGATAAAAAAATCACGAAATTAAATCGAAAATGATGTAATTTTTTATTTTCTCAGGCGTTTTAAAAAGTTCTTCAGCCAGAAATGCATTTTTTTTTGCAAAACTTTGTTCAAACGGGTCCAAAAATCGATAAAAATTGTGCGATTTTGCATTTTAAGCAGTTAAACACATTTTTGAGCTAATAAACTGAGTTTTTTTGCTAAAACAGACCAACACTTACCAAATTAGATCGAAACTGATAATATTTTGTCGTTTCAATTAACCTTGAAACTTTTTAGTATAAAATTTTGATAAAAAAAGGTTCAAAAATTATGCTATTTTGACATGTTTTTCAGCTAAAAACTTTTTTTTTGCAAAATTTCGCTAAATTTCGCCACAAAATCACTAAACTAGATTCAAATTATTGTTCTATTTTGGTCTGTTTTATTGGATGTATTTTGGTGACCTAATAAATTTATTCACAAGCAAAAAATCATCAAGTTAGTGCACCTTTTAAAGCGTTTAGCATGTTTTTGAGTTAAAAGCTGTTTTTTAAACAGATTTTGCAAAAGTTTCACAAAAAATGACCAAATTTGGTCGAAAATAACAATATTTTTGACTTTTTCAGTTAAAATGCACTTTTCCTTTGCGACATTTTGTTCAAGTAAACCGAGTAGGAATCTCCTAGTGTTTTTGCTTATTTTTGAGTAAAAATCTTAATTGTTTTTGATCAAAACATGCCTTTTTTTCAAGTAAAATTTTACCAAAATGGGCCAAAAAATTAGCAAATTAAGTTGAAAATAGTATATTTAAACTGGGGATTAGGATAAAAAAACTAACTATTTTGGCTGAAGTTTCTTGTCACTTTCAGCAACAAAATTTTAAATTCCATAGTTTTTCCAGAGTTTTTTTACGTTTTTTCGATTAAAAACGCACCCCTTTCAGAGGTTGTAGTTCCTTTACAAAACATTTTTTGATACACAAATTTGTAACAATAAAAACGGAACATCCTGTATACTTCTAGCGACCTTTCGAGTTTTAGTTAAGCGGCAATTTCATGCTTGAGGCTTTACCCAACTCAACTTAAACAAACTTTGTATAAATTAAACTTGGATTCAAGCAAAGAGAAATTGTCAAGTTTGTCGTCGTCATTACCTGTCAGCACTGCACACATCATTAACTTTATGCTATCTGTCTGAATCATCAGCATCAGGTGTCATCATTTCAATGACTGTAGCTTCCGGTTCCGGATCGGAACGTTCTTCAACGACTGTATCGAGTTCTAGCGACGGAAAGCCTCTACTCATTGCCCTTTCTGATCTCAGCGAAACAGCTCTTGTAGAACGGCCTATTTGAAAAATATTAGTTAAGAGAACTTGATACAGCTTCATTCAATGGCCCTATTCTCGTGTATGTGGGGTATAAATCAAACTATAATAACATAAAACAAGAATTCGAGCGGAAGAAACGTAAGAATCGCAAATCGAATCAATGGAACCAAAAGGAAAAAAGTTGTAAACCAAAGAAACTCAACGTAATTTGTACAGGGTGCTGCATTTTGGATGTCCGAATAGGGAATCTCCGAAACTAAGAGGTTTAGCCAAAAACGAGTAATACATTCTGGGGCTCATTTTTTGAGAAAATAATATCGTCTTTTGTTTTCGACTTGTAGACAAAAATTGACATTTTAGCGAAATCTAAAAAAATTCATATCTTCGTTATTATAGAAGACACAGATTTGAAATAAAGACATTATACAGGCACTTTTTTACGTAGAATTTAATAATGTAGTTAACAATTTTTCTCAGTTGTTTGTTTAGCCGTAATAAAATAACCTTGTATTTTTTAAATAGGAATCATAAATGGCTATGTCATTCTTAAAAAGCTTGTTTTTTTCTTATCTAAAAAATATATACAAGGTGTTCCGTTTTTATTGTTACAAATTTAAACAGGTAATAGGATATTCAATTCTAAGACAAAAGTTTCCTATAAACATGATCGAAAAATGCTTGGTAAGGGAGCTACACCCCCTGGAAGGGGGCTAATAAGTTTTTGCTAATATTTTAGAAACCATTTAAGATAAAATTACAAAATTTGGTACAGATGATAATCTTTATACACCTAAACGAATTCTAACATTAAATGTAGAAATTTTTAATCAGAGGCGTCCGAAACTGGTGGGGTTTAGGGTAAAAAAATACCCATCTATTTTGGCTCTAGTTTCTTTAGTTATGCATTGACCAAAATGGTAGTCACTTTGAACAACTCCTTT